AACTACAAACGAAGTTGATGTTTTTGGTCATGACCGTGTTTAACAGCACGCGAGCGTTTTATGTCTTGTTCTGTCGCGGATGACCACACCTCTCTCCTTAATATTTGAGGCTTTTACGGTAAAAATACACGTTTGGTGTTTTAGAAATAGGGCATAATATTCTCTAACTATTACCCACTTTTACCATGGGGGGAAAGGGAGAGTGAAATATTTTATATTAACAACCGGAGAGTCCTACTTTAGCTAGTTAGCTTGTCGCTAGCTGTCAATGACTCAACAGAAAGCTCAACATTACCCGTTTAGAGCGTTGAATATTTCTCAACACATTATTTAATCAGGTTGGTGTTTTAGAAATAGGGCATAATATTCTCTAACTATTACCCACTTTTACCATGGGGGAAAGGGAGAGTGAAATATTTACATTACTGTGTAAAATAGAAACAGGTCATCGCGCCACCTCGCGTGCTGTTAGGACAACGCTGTGTCACTAGCATGCGCTGCCTCTTGAGCAGTAGCAGCATATTGAACCCATATTGAATATTGCCCATTATAACCGCTGATACGTCTTACTGACCGTTCTGGTTTTTATAATGCAAATAACTCTGTTTATGTTGAACTAAAATGATTTTTTCCTTCCCTTCCTCCCTCCTACACCACTGTGCCATCCACGGCCACCTCCTCCACTTTTACAACTGACTGGACTCCTTCCCCCCCAATCAGAACAGTAAGTATAGACGCATGAGTCGTGACATTGCCATCACTGAATGGAAATCTCCATGTATCTCCATAGCAGACATGTTCCTGGGACGTCAAGTCACACTCATGGCTGCTGTGGGAATATGATCTAATAATTTATAGAGTCATGTCAGACCCGATTAACAAAATTGTGTCATATTAATGAATTAAAAAGCAAAGCCATTTCATTGTGTCTTGTAACATTAGTAAGCACTATTTCTTTTTTTTTTTTTTTTACAAAACTACTTTTTCTCTATCTCCAACTGAGTGTTTGACAGGCATTTAGTTGACCCAATTTAATGCATATAACAAATTCAGATAAAAAAAATCCACCTCGAAACTACTCGGATTGAGCTGTGACATGTTTCTGTAACATAACCTGTGTTAACAGAGCATTTTTCAAAATACTCATGTATTTTTATGTTTTTTTTTCTTTTCAGATCATCTTTGACACCCTACACAAATCTACGGTAATAACTTACTGCCTTAAAAACAAATTCCTGATTACGGGTAATATGATCCACTAAATGTCAGTGTTTTAAGTACATTTAAGTAGCTGTTGGCTAGGTGTTACAGTTCACCTCAAGTATTTAGTTTACATAAACATACATAAATCCACAAGTAATATGAAATAAAGACAACAATTATCCTCCTTGTCCGTGTTAGAGACTTGTCAGGTGTTACCTGATGTAACACAGGTGTTTCCAGGGGAAAGGTTTAAGGTGTTTCTACAATTAAACAAAATATCTCTCTGTCCCCTTCTCTAACTGCAGACCGTTGTTGACAACTTTTCCAGCAAACCCTGAAATGTAAGTTCACATTACTTTGTTTTGTGTGGCCACAACCAGTAATCACATATTAAGAATGTAAACAATTGAAAAGTTGCCGTTAAACAATTCCCTATGTGCCCACAAATTCTACACTTTATTTTAAATAAATAAAAGTTGGAATGAGCTGTGAGGTTAACTTTACAAGATATTAACTTTTCACTTTTTCCCCAAATCTCTCCACACCTATTGTCTTTCATCTGACAGCAGACCATCGCCGTGAGGTAGCCAGTCTGCAGTAAGTTTACACACATGTACATACAGTCAGTCTGAATGTAATACACACTTTTATTAAGTGGTAGTGGAACTTGAGGATGTCTGAAGTGTATTTACAGCTCTGGTAATTTGGCTTCAGTCAAATTCAAGAGCCTGTATCTGAATAAGGTTGATCCTATCCAGTAGGGGTGTAACGGTACACAAAAATTTCGGTTCGGTACGGCACAGTAAAGGCTGAAAGTGTGAGGTGTTGGTGATTTGAAATGAAACTAAAATCTCTCTCTTTGTCCCCTCATTTCATTCTCTGTTGGTCACAGACTCAGTGGTAAGTTCACACAATAAATTAGACGATGCGTTGAATTTCACACTCTTTTTTTTCATTACACACAGTAAAATATATCAACAGTATATATAAAATGTATTTTAACAACTACCTGATGTCTGTTTCCTTTTTGTCTTACAGGTGTGCTGATCCCCAGCCAGCTCCCCAGCTGATCTCCATCTCTACCTCTATCTCGTATTCTATCTTTATCTCTCCCCTCTATTACTTCTCTCTATCTCATCTCTTACATCTATCTATATTGAAGGCTCCCTATCTTTTCTGTCCATCTACCTCTATCTATTTTGAGAAACTCTATCTTGCTTTGTCTATCCATCTACCCCTCTATCTATTTTGAGAAACTCTATCTTGCTTTGTCTATCCATCTACCCCTCTATCTATTTTGAAGGCTCTCTATCTTGTCTATCCATCTACCCTCTATCTATTTTGAGGCTCTATCTTTTCTATCCATCTACCCCTCTATCTATTTTGAAACTCTCTATCTTTTCTATCCATCTACCCCTCTATCTATTTGAAGGCTCTCTATCTTTTCTATCCATCTACCCCTCTATCTATTTTGAGAAACTCTATCTTGCTTTGTCTATCCATCTACCCCTCTATCTATTTTGAGAACTCTCTATTTGCTTTGTCTATCCATCTACCCCTCTATCTATTTTGAAGGCTCCTGCAGGAAGACATATTTGGAGTGGCTGTTCCCTTTCTGCAGACTGACAGTTCTACCACAGGAGCATTCATCTGAACAGCTACAATGCCAAGGAAGAGCAAGAGATCTCAAGCCCAAAGGCTTCGCTGGCAGAAGGTAGATGATATCAACTGTGCAACTGTTTGTTTTTCTGAGAGCAGTGGGGAGGTAAAGAGATCCACAGTGCCTGATTCCATGAGTATGACACAAGAAGGGCAAATGTCATCATGTGTACCACAAGTATCTTATGCAGACATGGTGAAGAGAGTATGTGATCCAGGTGTAGCAGGCCCTTCTCAGTCTTGGCAAGTAAACAATGTAGGTCCAAGAGATGAGCAACATGTACCACAGGTATCTCAGGCAGGCATTGTGAAGAGAGGCAGTAGCACTGATCCATATACCGCAGGCCCTTCTCATTCTCAGGTATCTCGTGCAGATATTTTAAACAGCCATGACCAGTTTGTTGCAGGTCCACCTCATGCAGCCAGTGTAAACACTGCAGCTGATGAACAAAGTGTCAGTGCATCCCAAAGCCAGGCTTCTTTTATCTACAGTTCTAGAACCAGAAATAAGCAATGTACCTGTAACTCACTCACATTTCTTGCATTTCTGTATGAGAATGAAAACCTCACTAGAGCTGACCTGGATCTTGTTTTGGACCAAGGTAACGCGATGTACACACAGGTTAGAAAAAGGGTTCCTAACCACATTCATTTGACCACGGATGAACTTCCTGACTCTGTTCCTGCACGCCGTTGCACACACATTGTGGACATGTCACAACTTTCCAGATACGGCTCATTTGGAGATCCTCATCCTGGAGCAGTAGATTACTTTCTTGACCTTGAGTCCGGATTGTCCTGCTTGTTGTCGGATGTGCAGTATGCGTTGCTGTTGATGAGTTCGTTGTGCATTGCAGTATTCAGAACCAGGTCAGGCAGATACGGTTTCTTTGATCCACATGCTAGGACAGCCAAGGGTTTGCCTCTAAACCAGCGTACACCCACTCCCGGGACAGCGGTTATGGTAACATTCACACGTCTGAGTGACATGATTGACAGGCTCATCAAGTATCACAAGATGTTGGGCACAGCAGAATCCTGTAACTACGAGTTAAAGCCTGTTGTATTTTACGATGTCAACACTGTCAACCTGAGTTATGTCATCCCAGCTACAGATATTCAGCCCGCAGCTCACACAGACTCAACCACTCTGTTCGATGATGCAACTCAAAACAAATCGACTGCAAGTGCTGCAACAAACGCTGATCTAACTGAAAACGCTGTTCATGACGTGTTTGCCGACATGGAAACTGAACCAGAACCACTGAGCCAAAGGAGCCCCGTCACAGTAAATGATGTTTGTGAGAAGTCCGTCCAGGGAATCCCAACTAAAATAACATCTGTGTCATCTGAGAGACAAACGCAGGTCCACATCATGTTCCCTAATACCCAAACTGAACAAGAAGCAGTTATTACTGAACTCAACTTTAATTCTGACACATCACAACTTTGTCCTCAGAGTGAGTCAAACTTAACTGTTCCTTTGGTAAATTCTTTTGACAACGATAATGTCTTAGATGACATCATTATCAGGCTATCAAAAATGAACAAGCAGCAAAGGAAAAAATACAAGAGGAGACTATTGCTATCGGAAAATGTGTCACAAAGAAAAGACACTCAAAAGATAAGAGAGAGAGAAAGATATGCTTCAGATAGAACGTATAGAGTAAAGAAAAAATCGTATTCATGTAAGAAACGTTCTGATGAAGAATTCACTCAAAGAAAACGAGAATATGTTGCCAACCAATACAGAAACAAACCTGAAATACAGCAGAAAAAAAGGAAAAGTATTACCATGAGATATAGAGAAAACATTGATTTCAGACAAAAGCAAAAACTATATATTAAGAGTAGATATGCTGTCGATCTACAATTTAGACTAAAGCAAAAACAAAATATTACTCAGAGATATGCTATTGATCCTAAATTTCGACTGAAGCAAAAACAAAACATTACTGGAGATATGCTGTTGATCCTGCATTTCAACTGAAGCAAAAACAAAACATTACTGGGAGATATGCTGTTGATCCTGCATTTCGACTGAAGCAAAAACAAAACATTACTGGGAGATATGCTGTTGATCCTGCATTTCGACTGAAGCAAAAACAAAATATTACTGGCAGATATAGAGACAATATTGATTTCAAGCTGAGGCAGCGATCTTTATCACTCAACGTTATGCCCATGATGAAGCCTTCCGTCTCAAGCACAGAGAACTAATGAGAAAAATAATGCAAAACAGGCACAAGAACAATGTTGCATTCAGGACCATGCATAACATGAGATGTGCCCTGAAAATAACAAGAAAATACAGGCAGATGACTAGACCAACCCATGAGAGTGACAGAGAGAGTGACAATGCTTTGATCAAGGAGGCCATGGCTATTTTCAAGTCTCATATAAAAGCTGGTCCAACGTTCGTGTGCACCGTGTGTCACAAAGCCTCATTTCCAAACCAAGTCAAAACATGCAAGAGGTCAAACTATGTAAAGAATCCTAATGTGGTTGCAGCCTGCCTCACAGGAAAATATGTTCATGTCTGTGACGATGACTGCAGGAGTAGTCAATGCAAAGTGCCCAATGAGAGAAAGGAGGAGTGGATTTGTCACACCTGCCATGATCATCTGAAAAATGGAGCCATGCCCAAACTTGCTGTTGCAAACAACTTGTGGTTGGATGACATACCAACTGAACTGTGTGACCTAAACATTCTGGAGAGACATCTCATAGCAAAGTGCATAGCGTTCGCAAAAATCATTCCTCTTCCTAAAGGTCAACAGAGAGCTATACATGGTAATGTAGTGTGTGTCCCGTCTGAGGTTCAAGAAACGGTCAAGGCTTTGCCCAGATTGAGGAGCGAGTCTCAGGTGTTGAGAGTGAAACTGAAGAGACGTTTGTGTTACAAAGGTCATCAGCTGTTCCAGACTGTAACCTGGTCTAAATTAGTGCAAGCTCTGAAAAAGCTAAAACAGATTCACCCACAGTACGACGATGTCACCATCAGAGATGAGGAGGAGTTATGTGACCCAACACTTGCAGATGATGACGATGATGAATCAATGGATGATGATGACTATGATGCAGATGATCTGATGGAAATTAACAGGCTCGAGAGCGATGTGATGTGTGATGGAGATGCCGAAAATGGTCCTGAAAATGAGCAACAAAACAAGACGATGCTTCGTGATGACAATCGGACACAGGAGAACGGTGATGATGACATTGATGGCGACGAGGCACAACAGGAGAGTAACAATAGTGGTGGAATAGTTCTGGAATCATGCCTTCAGCCACGTGATGTTTCAGAGGAGATATTATGTTACAGTGAAGGGATTTACTCTGTAGCACCGGCAGAGGGAAACAGTCCAGTCAGTTTTTTTAAGGAAAAGAACTTGGAGGGAAAAGCTTTTCCTGTTCAGTTTCCAACTGGTCAGAATACCCTGGATGAAAACAGACCTATTAAACTAACACCCAGTGGTTATTTCAAAGCGAGGCTGTTTGGTGTTGATGATCGCTTTGCCAGAGACACAAATTATTTGTTTTTTGCCCAGTTTGTGACAGAGATATACTTGGCCACTTCCAGCATGTCAATACAGCTGCGCAAAGGAAAACCTTTCACCAGAGACGGACGTAGAATAACGTCGAGAATGCTGAGAGACAAATATGAGGTGGAGAAACTTGTGAGGAACAGGGATGCAATTCGATTCATGCAGCCACTCAGAGGAACACCAGCATACTGGGACAAAACAACCAAAGATCTGTTTGCTATGATCAGACAGCTGGGAATCCCTACGTTCTTTTGCACGTTTTCTGCAGCAGAAATGCGTTGGCCTGAGGTGATTATAGCCATAAAAGCACAGCAGGGTGAGGAAGTGAATTTTGAAGAGCTGGACTGGTCTACCAAGTGTGACATTCTGAGAAGCAATCCTGTGACAACAATGCGCATGTTTGATAAGCGTGTCGAGGCCCTGTTTAGAGATTTGATTTGTCCTGCACAACCCCTGGGCAACGTTTTTGACTTTTTCTACCGCCTTGAGTTCCAACACAGAGGAAGTCCTCACATACATGGCCTACTATGGGTCGAAGGTGCCCCCGTGTTTGAGAAGGACAGTGATCAGACTGTGTGCGAGTTTGTGTCCAAATACATCACTGCTCAGCTTCCTGACCCAAATACGCAACCTGAACTGTACAAGATAGTCACAGAAGTCCAAATTCACAGCAAAAGCCACTCAAAGACTTGTTTCAAAGGTGCAAGATCTGGGTGCAGGTTTGGTTTCCCGAAGCAACCGTGCAGAAAGATGATGATAACAAGACCTGCAGATGATGAGGGGTCACTCAGGCTTGAAATGGCAAAGAGAAAACTGGCACCACTGATTCAGCTGCTGAATGAACCTGCAACTGCCTCCCTGAGTTTAGTAGAGGTCCTCGCTCGATGTGATTTAACCGTGAATGAATATGAGCAA